CATTTGCATTTTAATTGAATATTACTGGCAGAAATAAAATAATTTTTTTTCTTATTTCATTACTTGTCAGATTTTTCTGTGCATCATCTTCAAGAAATAAGAAATATCTTACGCAAGATTATTTTACAATATATGTATATAATTATATACAATATATGTATAATTATTTCTTTATTAGATTTTATTAAATGTTCGCATGCAGCCAGTCTCCATATGACAACTTTCTCTTTGTTTGAGAAGAGCTTTTGACAGTAACAAGATCAGTAAAGGACTCTGGCCTCGTCATTGGACCACGAAGAGATAGAATCTGCGAGAAATAAAAAGAAGAATTTTGAAGGGGAAAAATGATACTTTTTATGCCAGGAAATAAAATGAGTCATTCAATAAAGTGGTCGTAGTATCGGCATAACGAACCGAGGAAAAAATAAAGGTGAGAGATCGAGTTTTTTTCCTCCAACGTCCTTCGTTTCATGTAGCGACCTCTTCTCGGCGACTCATCCCTTTCTTTCCTTTCCCTTTCCCTTCTCATCTCACAAATGGATGAGATAAATCTCTTGGCACTTGACTTTTAAGCTCACTAGGCAAAGATCTCTGCCCGACTATACTTACCTTTAAATGTCTTCTCCTGCCTGGGAGCTTCAGCAGCGTCGACAACGACGGCGGCAACGACAACGACGACTATTGCGACGCTCGTCGGCGATGCCGCGCTGACGACGCGGGTAATGACGCGACTCCTCATGGATTAAGCTGTTCGAGGCTTACGAGCTGGTGATTATATGACGCCCGCGCGATCATCGGATGGGCAATTACGCCACTGTAAGCGGCCGTCGTTGGCCTATAAACTCGTCGATTTGCCGCAGTCATACGGTAGGTAATGCTCTCTCGTAGAATGAGAATCAGGAATCAAGTACGGACCTGAAATACGGAGAGAAAAGATAATTACTTATACTGCTGAGATAAGATGATAAAAGTAATAAAAGAAGAAAAATTCCACCCCAAGAAGAGATAAACGAACGAATAAAGGATATAGAATATTTTTACGAATGACAATTATTTTTTTAATCAATATTATATGTGACAGATGTATGTAGTTCTCTTATGTATAGTATGACGCTTTTATCTTATATTCTAACTTATCTGCTTTACTGCTATCTGTTTTCTTACTGCAAAAATGCATAAATATCGCAGCGAGTCTAAAAGAAAAAACATCTGTAAAAATAAATAATACAGGAAGGCGAATTAAAAATTTTTTTTACTCTCGAATGAAAGTTTAATATATGCGAAACTTGAAATGTAAAATTTACCTTATTTTCTTATCTACCTATTTATTTTAAAAGAAGAGAATAAACTTGTATAAGCTAAGATGCTATAACAGAATATATGCAAGACGATAGAAAGAAATAGAATTAAATTGAAAGAATGGAAAGTACGCGGGACGAGACAATTTCATTCAATAAACCGATTCTCAATTCATGACACGTTATCGTGACGTAAAGAACGCGTCATTGTCCCACACGGTTGGTCTACGAGCAAGGTAGGATTTAATAATGTTGAGACGCAGGCTAGACGTTGTGTACATATCAGGATCGGTACACACAGCTTTCGGGCATCTTCAATATCTGAGAAGCTCAAAAGCGCATTGTCTAAGGACGGCACGGCGCGGCTTCGCTCGCTGTGCTTTACGGTTACCTCAACCAATGTCGGCGATGATGAGTCTTATGCAACGGATAATGGTACCACTGGCTGCCATCTGCTTGATATGCGTGCATAGAAAACTGCATAGATTGTCATTTGCTCGAAACTCAATCTCAAAAGTTTGCTCTTTTAGGTATCATGGTGCATTTCTGATCTATTCATATTTAAGACCCTCTAAAATTTTAAAACTTTCTCTTGTTTTAACTCATAGGATATTCGAGATCAATATATTCAACACATTTGCACGATGATTTTTTGAAAACTAACAGAACGTGTGATAATACTTTCTCTCTATATGCAGAAAAAAGGATGGCAATTAAAAAGTTATTAGTTTAATAGATTAGAACTGACTGCGTAAAGTTTACCACATAGATTAAACATTTATCAACATCACTTACTTCTACTATAAATGCTGCGATTAAAGCGACATTGTTATCCGTGTTTGTTAAAACCAAACAAAAAGATTAAACACTCGAGTTGCAAAAGAGTTATGAGAAATTTCTAAAATATCCAAAACGTTTAAAAAATTGTTCCAAAATGTGTAAGACTCTTCAAACATCCTTATAATAACCTTAATTAAGTACGATTGTTACGTAAATGACATTTGCAAGTACTTTGAATAAATCCAGGAGTGCGCATAGAGCAATTTCTCACTCAACTCTCGCTGCATCGCAGTTTTTCGGATTCGCAGGACAACCAATTTACGGACGCAAATAGCGTGACGGCGAAATTTGACGAGGAAAAATGAGGAGGCGCGACGGATGGACGAAGGAATGCTCATGTCCTCGTCGTCCTCGACGTCGTGGCATCCACGAGAGTCGGCCGAGAGTCGGCCGGGCGAACGGACGAGTACGAGTCCTATTCCAATTCCAGCAAGTTAATTGGAATTGTTTGCTGCAGACACCGCGAGCCGTTTGCCCTCGCACCCTTCTGAATCCTATACCTCGAGCAGCGCCTTCTCTTTGTCGCCGGTCTACTCTGGCTATCGTGACTTCAGCATGAAACTCACACCAGCTCGGTAGTCTCGTCGCGTTCATGCAGTTTCTGACATCCTGAGAGGTATTAATTTCTACCATCCGCAAACTCGGTGCTTGCTAAAGACCTCGCGTTAAAATGCTTGCCCCTCTTCTTTCGAATTGCCCAAATAATCTTACTGCTAGAATGCATAACATACTTATCATTTTTGGGATAGATCCACATAATAATTGTCTCCAATTAATTGTAGCAATTAATTGGAGACAAAATTTATTATTATCGTTTATGTGTGAGTTTGAATGATTATAATAAGTATGTATATTATATTAATATAAATATCCACATATATATTTTACAATTTACTTAAATTTTGCAAATAATTACAAAAAATTAAAAATATTATCATAAGAATATAGGTAATTTACATAGTTTATATAGTTAGAATTGCATAGTTAAGATTTTATATACTTGTAAGATTTCAATCAGAGAGTTATATGTTTAAACAAACACCTGCATCTGTTTAAATATTTGATTATTTTTTTATTAAAATATTGCGATGATAATAAAATTATAATTCTCAACTTTCTCAGAATAAATATCGTATTTTTTCATTAAAACCCGGCGATAAATTATTCGTTCGTATTAAACAAACGACAAGAATCGTTTAAGTGATTCTGAATGTGCAGAAGAAGAAAGTAATGTTCTGCATATATGTTTTGGCACTTAAAATTTTAAAATTTACCCTACTAGATCGCGCATTCTTATAAATATAAGAAGAAAATTATTAGCATAAAATGTTAGATAAAATCAATTGTTTACTTTCCTGAAGAGCATCACGTTAATACATATTTTTGTTCAAGTTTTGACTTGAACAATTTTGTAAAAAGATCTATGAAATTTTTAAATTCTATAAATAATAACTATAAAAATTTACAAGAATTGCCAAAATTCTGATGCAGAAATTTATCAAATATGTTCTTCAACATGGCATTTAAAATCTTTTAAATCATCATATAAGACTATTTATAGTGACACTTGTAGATATAATGTATAATATTATCTTTTATAAATACCTCAAGCTCTTTTATTTCTATCGTTTTCTACATATTATAAATGATTTTTTTTTGTATAAACCAAGATTAGTTGAAGTGTTCGCTAAAGCTCTCTCTGTGATAAACTTTTTCTACTTATCGATAAAACTCATTCTCTTCTTGATTTGTTGATTGTATTTCAGATAATTATTAATGATTCATCTCAATCAAAATAAGTTCTAGAATATCCTTCTCAGCTTTCTCTAATTAAAGAATTAAAATAATGAGTCACTATACAAAAAGAATGAGTATAACGTTATTATACTTAAAATGATTCGTTTATTATTAAAATTATCTGAAAAAAACAATATCATAACGAAAAATGATATTGTTGCTAAAACAAAATTTTACATATTATATGCCGAAAATGATTTAATGATATAAATATCGTAATAATAAGTATAATGAAATTTGCGAAATATATACTTACTAATTATTTAAATAAAATAATGTCGTAAAATTGTTTCAAATTACATTAATAAGAAATTAGATTTGCATAGATTGTCTAATGCAATTATATGCTCACTGCTAAAATTTTTGTCATTAAAGATAATCATAAAAAGATTAGAATCTTTATAATACTTCTTACACTTTGCTTCTTATATACAATTAAACTATTTAATAATCTCCAATGCAATTATATATTTCTAGTTGCTAAAATTTAAATAATGTTATATAATTTTTACATGCATTTAATTTTATTACACCAAAAACGAAATGCAACTATCAAGTCATAAATAAAGATTGTTAAATACTTGTCTATTATTTTTACAAACTGAAGTTGAACATACATATATTTCTATATTTGTTTATAAAATTGAATACATTGAGTGATCACAATTTGCTTTCAAATATCGTTTTATATATTATGTAATTATACAAAAATATATAGATATATTTTTAAATATAAATTATAGCATTTATAATATAACATTTAAATATAAACTGAGTATATATAAATAAATTATATACACATATAGTTAGATAATATAATAGTTATTTTTAATCTTTAATATATTTATAAGTTGGTATGTATACCTATTTATTATACTGAAATCTAATACACAGTTTATATAATACATATATATATATAAAATATTAATTATAATCAAAATTGCTAATAAGTCAGAAAGATATAATATAAATACTTGTTTTCTTTTTGATATTATATTTAATGATTTAGTTAAATTATTATTTTTATTTCAAGAGAAAATCAGGATAAATAAATAAAGTGAGCACTTTATTTTGTGTAAGGCAATAAATTTATTATTAATAATTACACAGTAAGTGAAGACTCTTATGTTACATTATTACATAGCGTATAATTTGCTTGCATTAAATGTTCAAAATGCTACAAATATTCTTTCCCATTTAAGACCAATCATTCTATTAGAAAGTTTCGCCCACGCCAGTAACTCCAATCCCTTTTCATTGGTTTGCGCGATATATTGTTTAAAAGTTTCATGATTTACCAGATTCTTGCTGATTTCTACAAATTCCGGAGATGCAAGGCTTTCGATGAAATGAGCAAAGACTTTGTCATGCAGTTTTTTCCGGAAAAGAGCATCAATCTTGCGTAAAGGTAGCAAATTATAAAGATCTCTGATCAATCCTTTCATTCCATCGCCGACTTCTTGCGCGCCAATTTGAGATTTGAGTAAGTCTTCTATTTTAGGGGGCACATAATCTTCCATACCGAGAGCCTTATGCATTTCCTGTATTCCTTCAATCACAGGCAATCCTAATTTTTCTAAATATACCACCAGTTTCTGATGTTCCTCAAGACTTTCGACGGAGCGTAGTAGATCATGGAATTCGGGTGTGAACAGGAAGGTGATAGCATCACGTACTTGTTGGTCTTCGTTTAGATACTTGACTAGTACCTCAGTAAACTGTTCTGTTGGAATAAGCTTTAAGAAGTCAATGAGATGTTCCCTTAACGATTTAGGAGGTCTCGGTGTAGTGACGTCGAAAAGAATGTACAGGACATCTTCTACAATTTTCACATTCACGTTGAAGTTCTTGAGACCATTTAGAATGATCTGGAAGGAGTTACTTTTGTAAAGCTTGTTAACGATGCGTTGTAAGGTGCCATGTCTAAGTTCGTGAAGCAAGTCGCGGAAGGCGTGGGAGTTTCTCGACTTGTTTACATATAGACTAATATAGCGGCTATAAGGCATAAGACTTCCGACGTCTTTGAAAAGTCCTGAAAGTCCACCGGTCCTCTGGATTACGGAGATAGGTACAGGTTCAACTGAAGTTGTAGGTGGCTCGGTTCTTGTAGGCTCAGGTGTAGGTTCAGGTGTCGATGTAGGTGGCTCGGTGTAGGTTCTCGGTTGTAGGCTCAGGTGTAGGTTCAGGTGTCGATGTAGGTGGACGTGTAGGCTCGGTTGTAGGTTCAGGAGAAGACGTAGGTGGAGGTGTTGGCGTAGGTGGTACAAGTTCCTCGATTCCTAAGGCTCTATTAATCTGATTGACCATATCGTAGCTGAAGATGCCGTGATTTTGCAGATAATCAATATGATCCCTCACTTCATCAATAGCCTCAAAATCTATCACTAGATTTTTTATTAAAGGCGTGTTCGCCAGATAGTCAATAATATGTTTTACTTCATCATCATTCTGCACGTAATCTGCAACGACTTGAGCGACTTGTTCCGCAGGAAATAAATCGAGAAAATCTTGAAAATCTTCATGAAGTGGACCCTCGCCAAAATCTGGGAACTGGTGAGATTGGCCCAGGCCGATGATGGCCAAGCTGACAAATAGCGCTAAGATGAGTTTCATCTGCAAATATATTATATTCATATTAAATAAGTTAGTATTGTATTACAACATATATTTAAATATATACAAATATAATTTTAAAGAATATATTTATAAAAAGATATATATATATATAGATTCAGAAAAAATCTTTTTATTTTAATTATATTTAATTTATAAAATTTGCGAGCACAATAGATAAATTATAGAAAAAAAAGATAATGACGTTTTAAATATTAAATTGCTTCTAATGAAAATTATTATATCTAAATTGATTTTTTACATAAACAGACATTTAGACGTTTTTATAAATTAAATTTTACTTTAAACTATATATATATATATATATATATAGTAGAAGCCTTAAAACAGAAATATGTATAACATACATATATCTCATTTTATATATTTATATATAATACGCATATAAGATATGTATGTATAGCATATACGTGTAAGATTTTTCTTACACATTTCATTGATTGCTTAGTTCTCAGATTTTACTTAAAAAGAAAATATTAATATTAAAAAGTCAAATATAAATATACATAAATTATACAGGATGCTGTACGTAATGTCATATTATTTAAAAAGTAATCTCGCACCATTAGTGTTTGTACATCAAAACATCGAAACAATGCAAAGTTGCTTTTCAAATAGTATGACATTTCATAAAATGTTCTGTATACAGAAGATTAGAACAATAAATATAATTTATTGTTAACAAATTAATAGCAAAATTGACATTAAATCTCATTAAATTTTTACTAAAAAAGAATAAACTGATTCTAAATTATTTATAAAATAACTAAAATCAGGAATGGCAATAAAAATGTTTATAAAAATAATTTTTTAAACATAATGTTCAAGAAAATATATAAAAAACTTTTCTTTACTTACCATGGCAGCTCTGTGAATGCGCTTTGAGATCAGTGAATAATTATCGTACATTTATATACCATTATAGTATCATCAAGTTACATAAAAGTCTAGATAAGATTACGATCAGATCGATATACTGATATACACGAGAAAAAACTAAGGATTATTTGATAAATTTTTCGACATAAAATATTCACATTATTTATTTTTCTCTATATATGTAATTTATCTAAATAATGAAAAAAATGACTTAAAGATGTGAATGCACTTTTCTGTTCATATTATAGTAAATATATTTAGAATATATCATATATAAATTTATTCATTTGACAGTCGCGCTTATTCTTAAGTCATGCGCTTTAATAAAATGATCAATTTTAATTTTGGAAATTAGTTTAACTATTATATATTTTTTACTCATTTTGCTTTACAATTCTTATATTTTACTATTATATTTACTTATAATAATTAGTCATTTATTTTGTGACGTAAGTTATGATTAAAACTTTGATATTGCTAGTATCTCTTAACTGATTGTCTGTTTCTTACAATATAATCATTTTCAAGAAATCATTTTAATCTTTTTGATTTGTGTGATATCTTATTGTTAATGATATGTCTCTTACTTAATAATTAATATCTTAAAATCATAGATTATATATTTTTATAGAATAATACATTTGTAATTTCTTATATTTTATATTATCAACTTTATGAAATTAAGGCATATTGATAATCATTCTCTCTTCTTCCCGATTTTTAATATTGATTACATCGTTGATTAATTTCATATCCTGGAACATGCACTTAAAAGAATTTATCACCAATCGACTTTTTTATTTCTTGTTATTATATGTATCCTCGTGTATTAAGAAACAAGTTATTTCTCAGAATATATTTATCTGTAAATTATAACTAAATTATAAATAATGGAAATAAAATGTACATATATCCCAGGTAGCAAACTGATGTCAAAATGACGTCATTTTGACGTTTAATGACGTCAGCTTGCCACCTGGGATATATTGTTGTATGTATTAATTTAATACATAATTAAAAACATACTCTGTTTGCTTACAATAAAACGATTATATTATTAAAGAATGTGAAATTTGGTGTTGCAAAATATGAAATATTTAATTATCAAAATAATAAAGTGTATAAATTCTATTAACAAAATATAGCAATCTCATTGTCAAATAATAGCAATATTTCTATTAACGATTTTATAATTTTAAAATAAATTATTCTCATATTAAAAAAATAGAATACGTGAAAACTACGTTAATACGTTAATACACGTTGTTTATAAATAGAATTTGATAAAACATTGCTTTAAATGAAAAATACATGTAGATAAGATAGAGATAAAGAAAATGGCAAACAATAATATAGTATTTCATGGAATTCAAGATGTCATATATGTATAAATATATACAATGAAACAAATACAATGATTTATCAAGTAACGTTTACATTTTTTTTCAGAAATTGATATTGACAAAGTAATCTTATCTAGTTCTATGTAATTCATTTATCAGTCTAGCATAATGCTATATTTTTTAATAAAACACTGTACGAGAATTGTATACACAAAAGTGTTCGTCCATTCAGTGTTCATCCACAGCTGTCACGGTAAGTAAAGAAATAATCTTTTTGCACATTTTCTTTAAGAATTATAACTATTTTTATTCAGAACTATAACTACTCAACTATTGCTAAAATAATGTAAACAAAATTAAGTTTATGTTTTAGTTATAGATTTTATGATTAATTTATAATCAATCTTTACATTAATTTAATCATATAAAATTTTTTGCAACTAAATTTTGTACATTTTGTAATTAATCAAAAATAAATCTATTCTTAAAAATTTGATTTAAAAATTAAAATTAAATTTGATTAATATAAAGAAGAATTTTGTACATACTTCTATTTTAAATGTTTTTTTTTTATTAATTAATCATAATTTAGAAGAACGTACGAGATTACTCGTACATGATTCAGAAATTAAGCCTAACATTAAAATAAATATTTTTTGAGTTATCTATACATATATATATATATATATATATATATATATATATATATATAAGAAAATATTATAATATTCATCAAAATAAAATGTTATAATACAAAATCATTATAAACATTTAATATTAATTTATGAAATATGGATATGTATATGTTATATGTTTATAGATGAAATTAGTGTTGTTTGCCGTCTTGGCTGTTATCGGTCTAGGTCAAGCTCATCAGGCCCTGGATTTCTGTAAAGATCCTCTATATGAAGATATACAAGACATTCTAGACCTAATCCCTGTTGAAAAAATTAATAACATTTGCGACAAATATTTAAAGGATCCTGAAATACAAGCTGCTATTTAATATATCATAAGCACAACTATAATCGAAGACTTGATAATAGATTTCGAGGATATTCCCGAAGTGATCAATCTTTTTAATTATTTACAAAAGGAAGAAATTAACATTTATTTCTTAATAAATGAAATTAATAAAGCTCTTAGCATCAAGGAACTCGAATCACCCAACTCTCATGTGTATTCTACGACCGTGAAGAAAACTGGTGGAATCGCTGGATTTTTCAAAGACATCAGTAAAGTGCTTCTTTTTGACGACTTCATTCACATCTACGTGCAGAAATTAAAAATCTCTTCAGCTTTCGTCAGATATATCAATCAACTTAAATCTGATAATTTCCAGCAGATTGTCAACAAAGTGTATAAAATTAAATCCTTCCAGATCATTTTAAATGGCCTTAAGAGCAGCGGAGTAAATACGCAAATTGTAGCGGATATCATGTTTATTGTTCTTGGTATCACTGTGCCAAGCTATCAAGATTATGCTTATCCTGCGAATATGATAGATGGCGAGCTCTTGGACTCTCTGCAACTTATTCCGATAGAAAAATAATAAGATATTGCTCACTTATATATATAAATAAGAAGAGTATAACACGCTCTTCTACTTGTTTACAACTTAATTCGACGATTAGATTATGCGCTGTAGAAGCTTTTAAGGAATTTCACAATGTATTATATTTATAAAAGACTAGATTAAATATTGTCGATTATATTTAAATATTTTACAAGACTATCGGCATATGGAAGATGTGTGTCATCTAAAATAAACAGTACTTTTAAATCTCAATTGAAATGTAAAAGGTCGGGAATAAAAATAACATGAATTATCTTTATGATATATTATTCTTGAAAGAAATCGATGATCTTTCTCTTTACGAAGAGAAACTACAAATTTCCAAACTTTTTGATTTTAAAGTCCCCCATATTAAAATCAATACATATATTATATTTTAAATATGTAAAATTTGCAGTTATATCATAACGCACGTCTATAATTAATGAATTATTCGATTTATTTGCTGCGAGCTACGATATGAATAAAGAACTATAATAAACTTGCCAAATAAGCATTTGTTTGACTATAAACTATATCTTTTAATATAGTAACTGTAACTTATATATAATCTTTGCACAACGTTCTGTTCAAATTTTCTATTCCAATTACTATATTTGCACTTTTATTTAAAATTAACTTTATGTTCTCTATAAGTGATTTATCAATAATATAATACATAATTATTTTCCAGCAAGTTATGTTATCGCTATAATTAGATCTATGTAATATATGTATAACAATCTTTGTTTCCAAAGTTAGCATTTAATATAATATCGTAAATATATAAGTATTATATATTTACGCTATTTTATTACTAAATATTATTTAAGAATATTGTTATAGAATTATATGTAGCAAAATTTTAAATAATTATATTATCTATTATTAGTTTATTAATATATATTAGAATAAGAAAATAAAAAAAATTTTGTTAATTAAGTGTATCAGTCTCTTGTTGTCAAATGGCAACTTTTTCTTACAGATTTTACAATTTAAAATGAATTATTTCTATATTGAAAGAAATATATAAAATATATAAAATTGGCTGCAATGCATGCAATGCACTATTATATAATATACATATATTGTATATCTATAATAATAAAACTATATGCAACAACAAAACTTTCTAGAAATAAAATCTTGAATATAGAAAAATTACTTTTAATAAAAAAGTGCGTAAGAAAAAAAATGTAACATTATAAATTTTGATTAGATTTTATATGTTCAATGATTTAATAATCTTTACAGTTTCTTAAAAGTTTATGATGTCAAAGTAATCTTATCTACTTTATTAACTGATCCATCTAAAACATGAGGTTTCCAGTATATAAATATGCGATAATTGCTTACGGATCTCATTGTCAGTGTGATTATCTACCACGGTAAGTTAAGAACAAAATTTTAAGAGCTTTTTATAAAAATTTTATTTTTTTTATTAAATAATTGTTGATATTATTATACGTAGGCATTATTTTTAATTTTAATTATTGATTTTATATCAATTTAGAATCATTCTTTTCTAGTATAAAATTTGCTTCTTTTTCAATAACTTTGTGTTTAAATTATATACTGTTCTAATTAAATTGCAAACTAATATTTTTTGTTAAAGCTTACTTTAGAAGTTAGCAGATTCTTAAAATTAAGCAAAAAATATATAAATCTGATTTTTGATATTTCTATTTCTATTTCTTATAGTAATTTTAAATAGTAATAATAATTAATTCTTTGTTATTTATTTTACAATATAAACGCAAATAGTTTATGTAAATAAATCGTAATTGAAAAAAAATTTATATATTTTCAAAATAATATTTTTTTTGGTCTGTCATATTTATATTAAAAATATATATTCTAATAGTAATATTAATTTATTAAACATATATTATTTGCAGATGAACTTTGCATTAGCATTATTTGCCGTCTTGGCCGTTATCGGTTTAGGTCAAACTCATCAGTTTCCAAGTTTCGGCAAAGGTCCTCTTCACGAAGATATTCAGGACATTCTGGACTTAGTTCCTGCTAAAGACATCAATGAAGTATTTTTGGATTATTATGCGGATGATTCTGAAGTAAAAGCTGCTTTTGATTATCTTGTATCAACAACTATTATCAAAGATCTAATGATAGATTTTGAAGCTATCCCAGAAGTAATCAACCTTTTCAACTATCTGTATAAAGAAGGCGTCGATATTTATTACTTAATAAACGAAGTTAACAAAGCTCTCGACATCAAGGAACTCGAACCTCCTTCTCATGTGCATTCTACGATCATGAAGAAAACTGGCGCCGGAATTGCCGGGCTTTTTAAAGACATCAATAAAGTGCTTCCTTTTGAGGACTTTATTCACATCTACGTGCAGAAGATAAAAACTTCTCCAGCTTTCGTCAGTTTCGTCAATCAACTCAAGTCCGATAACTTCCAACAAATTGTTAATCAATTCTACGACATAAATTCAATTCAAACCATTCATACTTTCCTTAAGAGCAAAGATGTAAATACGCAGATCGTAGCGGACATCATGTACATCGTTCTCGGCATTACTGTACCGAACAATCTAGATTACGTTCATGTTATTCTATGATAGATGACAAGATTTTGGATTTTTGGAATCTTATTTTAATAAAAGAATAATAAAACAATACAGCTATCGAATTTTATATTATTATATAAAAGCAAACAAATACAAGACACTGTGCTATTTATAAGTTAACATTTGAATTTTATTTTTTGTTGCATGACATTGGAGCTCTTAAAGAATATAATATTTATATTTGCAGAAAATTGAATTAGTCAAATTATCAATTATATCTAAATATTACGCTAGAAGCTAACGGGATTCTATATAAGAAGAAGATATATTCTATATATCAAGATAATTATTGAACAAATAATGACAAGAGTATTCAATGAGATATAAAATGTTTTAGAAAATCGCGATGTTAATATTTGATTGATTATCGAAAAATCATTATAAAAAATCCAGATAGCAAGCTGACGTCAAAATGACGCCATTTGACGTAAAAATGACATCAATCGCCGTCAAAATGACATTATTTTAACGTTTAATTACGTCAGCTTGCTACCTGGGAATGTAATACTTTTAATGTTACTTTAATTTAATAAAATTTAATAAAATTGCAACATTTTTCGTTTAAAATTATTTGATTTATATAAATAAAAAGTAAAAATTTATACAATTACTAAAAACTAGAATGCATGCGATGTTAATAGACAAACATTAATTTTAGAATATTTCTAATAAATAATGAACAATTATCTTTAGATTTTAATTATGATGCAAGTATAAATTAAGGAATACATATGTAATTAAAAACGATTATTTTTTTTATAAAATCGTTGTTTAATATACTTGAACAAAATAACGAGAGAAACTGAAAAAAAGAGAAATGTAAAAAGAAAAGTATAATAATAAATATATATTTAACTCATCTAAAATACTTAAAATTATTTATTTAATTATTTTTACTTTTTGTTTATAAAATTGTGCAAACATATAAATGTTAATATTTTATTTCTATATATCTTTATTGTTTAAATCAATCGGAAGTGATTCACGATTTACAATTTTAAATCATGCTGACATTACATTATATCGATCAAATATTTTTTAATATATCAATTTTGAATTTTTTATTGATGTTATAATTTTTAAAGACAGATTGATTCAAGCTTTACTAGTAAAAAATAATCGTTATGTCTTCCTTAGCACACTGAAAGTTTTACCGATTATAAGAGAAAGCGACTCATGCACCGTGTGTTACGAATGACATTGTGCGCTCACACCTATTCGATAAATAAGAAAAGACGAGTCAGTGCAGGTGTTGCGCTAACTTTTAAAAGAAAGCTAAAGAGTTGGCATCCGATTTCTCGTGTTGGAACCAAAAGAATACCAATAGTTGCGGGATGGCTACATACAAGCATGAAGAAAGCAAAACTACGGAAACTACAGAAACAAAAGTAATACGGAGAGAATTTAGGAAGAATGTATAGGAGAAAATGGTGTTTCTATAATTAAAATTGTTACAATTTAATAAGCCTTGGAACTTATTACCATTGGTGCGTAATGAGAAATTATGAGAAGAATAAGTGAAACAGAATAATACGAAAAGATTTTTAGAAGGGAAATGAAGAGAGAATGATTAAACGAGCTTAAGGGGTTGTGGAAAAAGAGATAGTAAGAAAGGGAAAGATAGAAAGCAAGAAAAAGATAGAAATATTAAAGAAAGAAAGAAAAAAAATAATGAAGACATTGTCTTCTCGATTTCTTAATTTTTTTCATTCACACAATCTATATCTTCTTTATGATATGACTTTTGTAGAAGGCTCAACACAATTTTATAACTTTTTTTTTGCAATTTTTTCTTATATATAATGAATAAAAATTTGTGTTAATAAAAAAATAATAATCTAGAAATAAAAAGAGAATAATTTGCATATAAAAAATTATTTATCGTTACATAAAATTAATACAATTGATTACAATTAATATCAAATAAAACTCTTCTTGTTTCTCTTCAATCTTTACTAGAAAGGAAAAAGTATGCAAAACATTTTTATCAAATAATTTAGAAGGATAACATACTAATTAACTAATTTTACAACTTCTTCACTTTTTGTCTTATTATAATACAATATAAATATTTTTATGGCAATAATATATAAACTATTATCGTCATTCCTTTTTAATTATACAATGAGCAATCAGATTTTACAATTTTATTGTAATAAAAATCAAATTATCTTAATAATATTTTTAAAAAATTTCTTATACTATGTCGAAAGATACGTGCCAGATTTATTCGTTTCTAGTTTCTCAAGAAAAGAGGAAAACTTTGCGACCTTCTATATCGTGTACTGCACTACGTTTAATTGGCAGCGGCGGTAGCATCGGCTTCATAATTGTACTTCAGAGGATCCTCGTTTCCACCGAAGTTCCACCTGTGCGCGGGGTTGCAACGGCAAGTCATATCAAATTATTTTCTCTTGCTGGCCAGAAAACTTTTGCTCGATATTATGGCGGCATGTGGCGGTAACAGCCTGCCGTGCCGGTCCTATCGTTACCGACGTAACGGCCTCGAGGATTTTCACAGTAAAACGAGAAGAACCAACTAAGAAAATGTGTTCGGAATTGCATTAAAGCGGCTTGCCGCCAGGCATAATTCGAATTGCCGCGGGTAATTTCGATACTCTATTCGTGTTGTACCGTACCGATACGCAATAAGGGATGCGAAACGCGTAGGTAAAAATGCATTTTGGAATTTCAACAAAACTGCAAGATGCTACGAAAAAAGTAACTGTATTATGATATTTTACAATACTCGCCGCATTAATTTATGAGAGATTATAAAAACATTACATAATAATTATATTATTGATTCATACAACAGGAAATAATTTGCATAAACCTTCGACATAATTTTTTAAAATCAGTTTTTATTATTTATCACATATTTATAAACTCCTATTATAATTAAAATTATAAAGATTGATTTATTATCAGTAATAAAATCCATTATTCTCGAATTACAAATGAATTATTTGTGTATCTGTTATGTGAAATGTCATTTTTATGAGTATAATAATAGATGTAGTAACAGGTAACGGATAACATTTTGATTTAGTTGCACGGCAATAAATATTGCATATTTATTATTAAAATGTTAATTTTATATGTCATCATTATATAATCATTCAGAAAAAACAGTATTCTATGAATAAGAGAGCTAGTTTTTATAATATTTCATCTTTTCTAACCATAAGTTAGAAAATCATAAGTATCTCTCTTATTTCGGTATTTAAAAAATGTTAGATCGTTTAATTAAAAGCCAAAAGCTATTAATTATATTTATCGATCATCTCACAGTTATTAATCAAAGATTTATGGCTTATCTCGGTGTGTAATAAATTAACAACTTAAGTTTATTTAGAAAACACACAGAAGCCAAATTAAGCAGCACAGAGAAGCCTTAACATTAATATTAAACTATATTAGTTTTTTGCGTGAATATAAAATTCTTGATGCGTATCATCACGTGCTCATTATTAACTACACAATTGGTTTTCTTTGTTTAATCACAAAAGATTTTTCTGGTATCAGAAGAAACGATCGACTTGTAAAACGAACGAGAACGGATGTCTTATAAAAGCGTTGAGCGAAAGTACAGGAGCGGGAAAAAAATTTGTATTTTACGGCATGTTATCCGAAGGCGACATCGGGAATTGGTGACCGACTAAACTCAGCCAATCGGAAGTCTCTCATGTTTGATGGCAGAAAAAAGCCCCCGAGTGGCCCAAAGATCAACGATGGTGCAGGGAGTAAAGCGTTTCTTTTAGTCCTTTTAGTGTTATGTTCGTGTTATGTTGCTTGCCTTGCGGAAGGCTCCTGGACAAAGGAGGACTTCAGGACGACTCTGTGTTGGCTGAGAGAGGCGGAGAGGTTGCCCGCTAGAAAGTGGCAGAAAAGGTGGCCGTAACAAATCCTCCGCAAGTAATCGAGGTCGTGCCTCGGCAAGGTTTTACTCTCGAACACTTAACTCTATTGCGATTGGATTCTCCGGCTGCCTGTAGTACGCGCTCACCATCGCCCCGTTTCGTTTTCTCGCTACTTTGCCGCTTTCGCCCTGTTTCGCGCGCCCACTATCCCCTTTGTCTCTTTCTGTACTGCTCCTCGACCACCTATATCGCGGAACACCTCGGTGGTTTCTTACACGTGGAAACCTTATTACAGGCGACACGATAAAATACCCCAGAGAGACGAAGGAGACCGTTGCTCGAGTACCGGCACTATGAACTCTGACAGGGTGCAGTGGGATAGGACGATACAAGAAGGATTGTACCTCGTGCGGCAATGAGAACTTTTAAAGCGTGACAATTTTAGTTTTCAAAAATAATATTTATTTCTTATATGTGTTGTTCGAAAAAGTATATAAATCATTTTATTTCTGTATGAAAACTTTTATTTTAGAGAAATGCTATCTTCTAAAATTGTTTGAATATAAAAAATTATGTATATTTGATTTTTTTATAGTAATAGAGAAATAACATGTAATTCAGGCATTGGTTTATTCTAAAAATTTTTGAACCATAGTAAGAAGAAATCATAAAATAAATGAGAGAATACAATAACTTCTTAATCATATAATAAATAATTACTTAAAAATTATTAACAAAGTAATATAAACACATTTGCATATAGAATTAAATCTTTAGAGAATAAGAAAAAGAAAGAGAAATAAAATTAGATGACTATAATTTGATCATTATAAAATCATAATGTAGTAATTCCAACACGGTAAATAAAATAAGTGACATAAAATGTAAAAAAAATTATTAGAATCCAAAAAAAGTTGCAGTTATCTCGGAATGACAGCGTCACGATGAATTCTTAGCGGTCTGTGTAGGAAATGTGACTTTCGCGCCGCAGAAATGCGGGAAGGTCGAGGAGAAGGGCGATAAAGAACCGTAGGGGTTAGCAACCTCGGTGGACGTGCACAAGTTCGCTTGTATTTCAATGTCGGAACATCCGGCCACTCCGACGAGTGATGTGGTCTGCTATCCCCGTACATCCGGCCGTCGCCAAACACTGTCGTGTGCGTTCGCTCTTCCGTATGTTTGCCCGGGTTCAACT